TGTGTGTGTGTGTGTGTGTGTGTGTGTGTGTGTGTGTGTGTGTGTGTGTTTTGAACCCTCAGAGATCGCTCTGAGCCCCCATGTTTGTAACTGAGATCAGAATGTTTGGATCAGGTTTTAATCCTGGATGTGGTTGGATGGTTAATATGAAACACTGACACATCACTCAGTGGCTGTAAACTTTTCCAGCAACAATCTTTGGTGCTGCACAGTTCATGCCTACTGCATCCAAAGAAAGTTAATTAATATAAATGAGTACAATAAGTCATATTAAGATGAACATTGTACAACAATGTGTAAGAAGGAATCATATACAGCAGTGGCCTTTTAGAAATGATCCCCTATAATGATAAATTGTCTTTTTTTGCATTATAATCTAGTTGTTGCCATTTGTCAGTAATATGTGCTGCAGTAATCTAATTAATATTTAAAGTTTATTTAAACTCAACCCATTTGAAGAAACAAAACTATATGCCTTTCAGTTGTTTGGTTTTGTCCCACAATTTCTCGCATAATCTGTAATAATTGTCTGAAATGGACTTTTGTTTTTGTTGCATAATGACATGGTTACAGGTATTTCTTTTTCTGTTATGGTCATTATTATATTTGTCTTTAAAATTATTCATCATATTGTTTTATGGCACCTTACAGAATATGCAAGTGGGGGGTCTCTGTATGAATACATTTCCAGTGAGCAGAGTGAGGAGATGGACATGGAACAGATCATGACATGGGCTATACAGATAGCCAAAGGTACACTTTAAGAGATGATTAGTTTTCAGTGATTACATTTATATTGTAAGCTTCTCAGAGATGGGAATAATAATWTCATCTTTGTATATTCTGGTTATTATTAATTATACAAAGAAAATGCACATTTTTTTGTGGCCGATGAATATTCAGCAACCAATGCACCATAACTGCCCAAGTATCACAACACAACCTTATGGCTTAATCCTCTTTTGGTCCAACACAACAAGAACCAGTGGTTTATTGCTAAATAAATGTTAAAATTAATCTCTCTTTGACTAAAGTTTATGAATGACGCCCAATTTATTTACAGAGGCTGTCTTTACAGCTCCATTTTACTCATCTATTTCCAGTACAAAATGTCTTAAAATGACACTGCAGCCACATTTTGAATATTGTTAAAACACTCCACCAAAAACAAAAAGGATTAAAAAAAATGCAAGAATTTGACACCTTATKGCTTCATTTCCTTACAGGGATGCATTACCTCCATGCAGAAGCTCCAGTGAAAGTGATTCACAGAGACCTTAAGTCGAGAAATGGTAACATCATCCAAACTTCATTGTGTTTTGCTGCGCTAACTTGAACAAATGCACATATAACTACTATAAATGTGCTGACTGGTTTCTGTATTCTCTGTTTACAGTGGTAATGACACAAGATAAAGTGCTAAAGGTATGTACGAACAGTTTTAGGATTCATTAAAAAAAACCTGGATGAAACTTTAACRGATTAACTTTTACGGTTTAAATTTCAGATTTGTGACTTTGGAGCATCAAAGTTTTTGTCTCACACCACTCATATGACCGTGGTGGGCACTTTTCCATGGATGGCTCCTGAAGTTATTCAGAGCTTACCTGTTTCTGAGACCTGTGACACCTACTCATATGGTGTGGTGAGTTGGAAATGGTTTCTAAATATTCATAGTGCAAGAAACAGAACAAGAAGCAGCACTGAGCACAGATTTTAAAAATTAATTAGAGGAGCTAAAATTAAACTACAGAAATCCCATTTCCTGCAAAAATGCGGTGTGAAACTAGCTTAAAAATACCTAAATAAAAGTAGCTGAAATAGTCAAAATTGGCACAAATAAACAGAAAAAGCATGTTTGCTGAGTTAAGCTGAAATTATCACAAAAAGGTGAAATTAGCTGAAAAAAGCTCAAATTAGCTAAAAAGTTGCTATGACATAGAAAACAGCTGAAATTAGCAGAAAGCAGCTAAAAATAACACAGAAAAGCTTAAATTTGATGATGGCTAAAAAAAGAAGTAAGAAGCGAAAATCAGAAAAATAGAAGTCAAAGGAAGCTGAAATTAATACAAAGAAGTTAAAAAAGCAGAACAAAAAAAAAGGATAAAAAAGTGCAGTAAAGATATTTTTAAGGACATTGAAAAGAGCTCCATTCATTTTCAATGAGAAAAACGTGGCAAAAAATGCTAAAAAATCTCAAAAAGTATAAATTGCTGAAATACCAAGAGTCACAGCCAGAATATCCTGAAGGAGTTGAACGTTTTGAAATATAATTTGTTGAAATAACACAAAAATCGCAAAAACAAGATACGTGCTGAAAAACGTATAGAAGAAAAAAATGATCTGAGTAGTGTGAATGCTTCAGTAGATCTGGACTTGTRAAAACTGATTAGATGTTAAATGAATGTATTGAAGAGTACAGTACTTGTGTATCCTTAGGTATTTATACCACTCCCATGCTTATGTCAGGACAGACTTTGTTGTTTTTCTTTGTTCTAGTCAGTTTTCTCTGTGTCCAGGTCCTATGGGAAATGCTGACTCGGGAGGTTCCTTTCAAAGGTTTCGAGGGGCTGCAGGTTGCTTGGCTGGTGGTGGAAAAACAAGAGGTAACCTGCACAAACACCTCTTTGAACCCGCTGCGAGTGTGCTGACCCGTTCGAGTTCGAGACGGCTGGAGGCACAATGCGATGCTCTCATGCTTTCCACTGTGAGCTGGTGCAGCTGAGTATTTTTAGGCCTGATGTCAGTTCTGTGCTCATGTAAGGCCTGGATACACAGCAGTGGAGCTCGCCAGACTCTCCTTAGCCTGAAACCTTTACAAGCAGGAGAGGAGGGGTGAACAGAGGAAAAAAAACTGCGGCGATACGAGGGTTGATTCGAGAGTTTTACAAGTGGTGGGGATGACAGTAACACAAGGTCTATGTTTCAGTTACTGACCTCTACAACTACAAATACACAAACAGACACACTCTGGGGGCCAGCAGACAGTCAGGAGAATATGATTCCTGCGTAGCTGTTGGCTCATCTCCAAAGTACTCTCCCTAAATAACTCACTCTGTCTCACTCTTCCTCTTTCCCAGTATGCCTTATTTCCCTCTCCATTGCTACACTTCTCTTCCCGAACCTTCAGCTTGCTCTCTCCACTCAGAGTTGCTGATATTTTAAGAGTAATTCCGAGTGGGAAAAAAAAAGTTTCCATTCGCTGCACTCTCCTGTGCCGTGCAGTTGTCTGGGCTCATTCAGGGCTTTGATGATGCCAGAGAGYCTAATGTAGGAGAAATCACCACAGTTTGGGCACATTTACAGAAACAAAAGCACCATCCAATCAGAGCTAGTTCTAGATTTTGGTAACAACTTTGAAATCTAATGTCTTCTTGTGATATRAAGACTGTTACATAAAAGGGAGAGGAAGATCATTATAGACAGAAACAGTTRAATCTGATATTCGGTTTTGTGGCAACCAAAATCAAATTGAGGCGAGACTAAAACTGATACCTTTGTAAGTTACATTGTTCTCAGAGTTTGAGATAATGGTGAACCTTGAACCTTGAACCACTATACTTCATAGTCCCCCTGGATGACAGAGCTCCTTATCTCTAAGGTTGAGCCTGACTACCCTAGAGGAAGCTCATTTTAGCAGCTTGTATCTGGAATCTCMTTCTTTCAGTCAGGATCATGACCATAGGTGAGGGGTATAATGTAGACCAGGGGTGTCAACCTCATTTTTACCGAGGACCACATGAGCATTATGGTGGCTCTCAAAGGACCAGTTGTAATAATTAATAATTAGKTAACKTCAGTGTTTTGTGTTTAACTTCAAGWAAACATCACATTTCTYGTGTTATTGCTATGGTTGCGCACCACTAACAAACAATAACTGTGTCAACTCTTTGTGGTATTTTGTGCATAGAAACAGTGTTTTAACACATCCTCTTATAAACACTGAAAAGTACTACGTGTATGAC